GTCAAAATCCTCTTCAAAGAGAAGACATAAACTCTTGAAGGCCTTACACCAAACAGTAACCAACCAAAACACAAGTCACACAAAAAAGCATAAGTTAACAAAGAAAAGCACAAGTATACAAACAACAAGACAAACACAGCACAATTATATGCCCAGACATTGAACCAATCTCAAACTTTAACATTAGGACAAAGAATCCAATGAAACCTAGGAAATAAAATATACCCACACAAAAAAGCGCATAAAAATCACAGGTAAAAGAGCAATGAATTAAAAAAAAAAAAAAAAAAAAAAAAAAAACTCAATCACTAAATACAAGATTCTCCCATAATGGGGTCTCCACCAACACAGGTTAGGAATATAAAACCAAATGAGGAATATAAAACGACAAAAACATATTCAGATGAATAAAGACTTCTCATGGGTGTAAACAATAAAAAATATAGTCAGTGTGATATCAAATGTAATAATCAACATGAATTCTGAAAGAAATTACAGAAATTCTTACACACTATACATGATGGAACTCTAACCGTAAAAGATAATGAAATACTTAGATAAAACCATCTCCTATGAATAAAAAATGAGATTTAAAATATTTGTTATATAGACAATATATTGACATATATGTAGAAAATATAGAATAGAGTAATATAATAATAGAATATAGACAATAATAGGATATTTGATACACAGAGAACAACCAGAAGAGATAGGACTATGTAAGATCTGGCTAAAAGAATAGATAAGCTCAATTTTAAAAACTATGACATAATTAGAAATTAGAAAGGACAGAAGAGAACAAATTGGAGGGGTTTATCATTTTGCATGACAGTACATGAACCCAAATTTAAACTTTTAATTTTCAAATATTATAGGAGGAAAAAACCTGTTTGAACTCATTAGCCAATATAATATAAATTTACTAATACCTCCAGGCCATACTACAGGAGCAGATCCCAGTAATGCAAAAGGAAGCTCATTAAGTCACCTTAACCTTAAAAAAAAAAAAAAAAAAAAAAAAAAAAAAAAAAAAAAACTTTGGAGGAAATACAAAAAATAACTTAGAAAGTAAAGATATTGAAAGCATAAAATATTTCAGTAATTTAACCATCTAAAAAATAAATAAAAATAAGACAATGATAATAGGATCAATAGTCCCATGGAGGAATAAACATTGCAACCCAGCAATAGAAACGAAGCATGCAACAAATGCGGAAGAAAAACTGTCAGGAAAACCTATTCCAACATGGGAAACAATTAACAGCAGTTAGATTAGCAAAAAAGAAAATCCTGGGAAAAATTTCTGTCTCACTAGACTTTAAAACACCTACAAGAAATGTGTGAAACTTTAGAAAAAACTTTACCATTAAAAAAAAGAAAGTCCCTTAAAATAAAACTATTAAAACTCAGTCATTAAAGAACTTAAACTAATAGTAAAAAAAATAACTATAGAGTAAGAACAGCCATTACAAGTGCAAAAAACAATAAGCACATGGGTTGGAGGATATAACATCTAAATTTTACAAACAGGCTCGAAGGAAACTATTGCAAAATGAATCATAAATCATTACTGGTCCAAAGAACAACATCCAGATAAAGAAGAAATGCTCTAGTCAATCCAATATTAAAATCAGATAAAACAGTCCTACTGATTTATATCTTCATGGTATAGAAAAAAAATAAGGTACGATAAAAATTGTTTGAAGGCTAGAAATAGGTTCAGACCTAATCACATTACATCTGATGCATTGGAGATAATACACATGAAAATTAATAAAGCTGGAAGAGAAAAAAAAAAGTATGCTTTAACTGTATTAATTTTGAATGTATTGATTCAATGTATTGATTTTGGAAAAAAAAATAAAGAAATTACAAACACTACAAAATGAAGTAATGAAGAAAGCCACAGCATGTTTCAAATCACACACCACTCATTATACTACAAGCATTAACAGACAACCTCATTAAATAAATGAATGAATAAAAAGGAACAGAATGCAAAATAAAAATATGAAAAAAGATAAAATCATATGCCAATAAAAGAACTGGCAACTAAACAAATAATTGAATATGCACTCAACAAAGGTAGAAAATCAGAAATTAATCCAGGGGGATATATACAACATTAAAGACTTAAACACTACAAATGAAGAAAGAAGAAATAGGCCTATTTTAGTACATTGATGGTCATTAGTTTCATAATTACTAATAACTGTAATTACAGTTTCACTTTCACTCTTTTTATATAAATTAACATTATTTTTATAAAATAAACACTTACCTAGGGAAAACCTGATTTTCTTTTTTTTTTTTTTTTTTTTTGACCAATTAATAACTTGATTACTTTTTTTCTGAAATGAAAAGGTAAAGAAAAAAGTAATTTAATTCTTGTTCTTTCCTTAAGTGCAAAGATGTGCAGATGAGTCCGCCCACAACCCCACCCGAGGCACCAGACTCACTTCGCTGGTTTCATGAGAACAGCGAAGAGGAAACTCAC